CCTCCTTTGACCTTCTGGCTACACATCTTTTGATGCAGCCAAGGATACGGTTGGCCTTCTGGGCTGTTATTGCACGTTGCTGGCTCCTGTTGAGCTTCTTGTCAATCAGCACAGCCAGGTCCTTCTCCTCAGGGCTGCTCTCCAGCCATACCCCACTCAGCCGGTATTTGTGCTTGGGATTGCCCCGACCCAGATGTAGGACCTTGCACTTGGCCTTGTTGAACTGCATGAGGTTGGCTTGGGCCCACCTCTCCAGCCTGTCCACGTCCCTCTGGATGGCATCCCTCCCCTCCAGCATGTCTGCCTTGCCAAACAGCTTGGTATCATCGGCAAACTTGCTGAGGGTGCACTCGACCCCACTGTCCATGTCACAGACAAAGATGTTGAACAGTACAGGTCCCAGTATGACCCATACCTTACTTTCTTAAATATTTCTTTCAGTTGCCAGAATATCATTGATGTGAAACTGATGTTGGTATCACTTTTCTTAGAATACTTCATATTTTTAACAAAAATTCTGGCAAAGCCATAGAATGTCCAAATTATCTCTGTCTATTACTTCAGTGTCCATTCAAAATGGGACATTCAAATACATTGGGACTGCCTATATTTTACTAGATATTTTTCTACCAAAATAAAAATCACATTTGTATTTTTTACCTAACAATTTCCCAGTGTTTATTTTAGGTATATCTGCATCCAGAAAACCTAACTTGTTTTAAAGAAAAGCGCAATTATTACCTCTCTGGAGGCAGGTCTGTATCCATATCCAGCTGGTAAATTTTTATCTTCCTCACAGCCTTTGGCTCCTGGACTAAAGTGCAGCTCTACATGAAAACGTTCTTCCGAAGAAAGTTCCTGAAGGAAAATGATTAAATAGGTTTACACTTTAATACATAGCTTAGCACTAGTTGTTTCTGAAAATATTTATCCACTTTAAATACCTTGTTTGGATCCTCATAAAGCATGATAACAATCTGTGTCATGTAATTGAGTTCATTGACAACATTTAAATAATCCATAGCTCGTTTCCATTGTTCATCTTTTGATTCCTTATGAAGGGGAAAAAAATACATCAACAAATAAACCCCAGCTACTTTTAAAAAGACTGATCATTTCCCTTTTCCCCCCATTTACATGGATTTTACATTCACAGCACAAGTACAAAGCTTTTCGCAGCTAAGGAAAAAAAAGAGATACAACCAGGAAAAAAAAAGTGACTTAAAATTACTCATCAAATGAATCAAAAGTGGAAACCAGAACTTTTCATATTTTATTTCAGTATATCTTCCACGTTCTCTTGCCAATGATGATATATGTCTTGTAGACAGAGGGACCATTTTAAACTCTCCTGATGGGAACTGTTCATTTTGCAAGAAGCTAATTTTAACTTGTATACTGTAGAAAATGTTTCTAGATACCGCTCTACCAGTCAAACAGACAGAGTAAATGAAGGTTTCTAGTACACACAGGAAATAACCATCACATCCCAAAATATTTAAATTGAATATTCACCTTTTTTTCACGGTCCAGAAAAATACATTTAGTAATCCACCTCAAAGGAAACTTAAAAGGTTATCAGCCTAAAACTATGAGTGTTACCTGCTGTAGCATATGTCACAGAGGTCTAGGATTAAAAATGCTTTTGCCATCAGTGAGTTTACTCATCCATTACCAGAAGCAAGTATGTCAATACAACCATTTCAAAAGTTGGTCTGTTAATCAAGCTCTATCTTAGAAGCAGCCATGTAGACTTTGTGGTGCTGCATTTATTCCCTCAAAGAGCTCAGGCCATTTCTGAATCTGAAGACCTTGTCTTTTTTAATCTTTGGTTTCAAAGCCAATCAGATGGATAATAATGCACCACCTTCAAGGTATTCTACAGCAGTATAAGAACGTAAGACAATCCACTGAACAGGAGAAACTTTCTGCTACATGAATGTTCTTGAAGTGAGGTAGGGAGGTCTTGATGATATGCCAATGATCAAAACTAATAAGCCAGTCCAAAAGTGAATTCAAAAGAACCCTGAATGATAAGTGGAAGGAAAAAGAGTTGGAAGAACTATAGGTGACAACATAAGGCAAAAAATGGATTATCTGCCCTATTCAAATGTCTTTGAGACTGTAACATATACAGCTGAACACACCAATGGAACTCAGCATTACTTTAAAGGGCATGCTGATTCCCACCAATGTGGACACCAGCAATCTGAAATATGTCTCTGCATATATAATAGGAAATCAATGTTTGAAAAAGTGTGGTAACTTTCAAAGCCACTTAAGAAAATTAGCCTTTGAATTGATACAATTTTAGTAAGATTGATATTTCGAGAGGAACTGAAAGGACTCTGAATTTTAACAGAAAACGTGTTGAACTTACATCACATAAGGCACCATAACGAAGGGTAGATAACAGGGAGTGGACATGACTCTCGCTGGTGAAATAGAGCCGCGTACGAACATGGCGTTCAGGGGACATAACACCCCTGGAGTAACTTGAAAGAAAAAAAAATCTTATTAGACCATAATGAGATGTGTCCCTATTTTAGAAATAGCTGTCAACAAATAAATAAATCATACTTTTTAAATTACTGTGAGCTAGTAAGACATTTCAAATAGGAAAGCTATGAACTATCTCCTTTAAGTCTTATAGAAATTAATGTAACCATGTAGAAAAGTAGAAGACTTACAGAGGGTGAAGCTTATTTACAGTATCATCATCTTGAGTTCTCTGAAGGTCAGAACGGATTTTTCTAACTAGAGGAGTGCAGTAACCTTTGGCAATCTCTAGTTTCTCAGCCTTAGAAATACCATATTCCTGTGTAAGAAGAAACTGACTTTTAAAATTTAGTTAAAGACTAAAATGCCTTCTAATTCAAGGCTTGTACATTAAAGCAAATTATCTATTAGTTTGATCTGGCTGCAAACTATTTTGCTTAACATTTTTATTACATTTAGCTACTGACATCCCCTCAAGTAACATGTGGTTTTCCTTTTTGCTGTTTTGATTTGAGACAGAGGAACAGTTTTGCATTCACACATTAAACCACAAAATGGATTCATCTCTGGTATAATGAAGCTTTTTTTCTTAAGCAAAACATCTAGGGAAACATTTCCCCTCTTCCCTCCCTGCCCCTGGATTTAGACATTTATGATGCATTTCATCTCACCTGATTCCAAGTAACTTTTTTTTTTTAACAGTCAATAAAGAGGCACATTACCTATTTAATATGTCTATCTCAGTTTGGGGTAAACCACCCCACAGAATATCTCCTATTCACCTCAAGTAATACTGAAAATGGTAGTTAAATATGACTGGAAAAATATTATATCTGTTACATTATCTATTATGTTTAAAAATCTGCTCTTCCAGAAACTTCATGCTGTGTGCTGCACATGATATAAAACTGCGGTCAACATTATGATGGACCTTCTGGTTACCCTAGAAAGCAACATAAGCACTTTCCCTTTGCACTGTGTAGGCTTATCAAGTTTTCTTTGTTTGTCTTGCTTTAGTATGTGTCCTCATTTTTACCTACTCTTCTCTAACACTCTATTCAAAATGTAATGACACATGACACAACACATACTTAGTATCATTACTTTTTTTGTACTTCTTGCTGTCAGGGAATCTGAGAGATGGGGAGAGGAAGAAGTTCCCTCGCTTGCTGCATACAATGTGGATAATACCTCTGTAACTGCAGGGACATTTGGGGAAAGCTTTAGTCTGTTCTGTCCTGTTACCACAAAACAATTTCATGTCCTGCAGCCTACAACATTTTAGAGCTAACCTGAGTTTAACAGCCCGTTGTATATGGAAGTTTAACTTGTCTGTTCTGGCCTCAAATGCTATGAAACTTTATGTGTACATTTTTAACAGGGAATGTTAGCATTTTGAAGCAGCAGAAAGGTCTTTTTAAATTTAAATTGCTTAAAACAAGTGAAATTGCATAGATTAGGATTAACAGTATCATTTGCAAAGAGCCTAAAAATGAAATTTCTAAAAGCAGGAAGAATGAAATTAAATGCTATTTCAGAATACACAGCTGTTCACAGGGGCTACACTTAAATCTAAGAAGAATGGCTGAGATGAACCACTTTATTCTAATACAGTGCAGTAAAGGAAGCAGACAGGTTCATAGCTTAAATTGCTAGAAAAATTCACTTTGAATACAGCTTAATGAGTTACAAATCAAATTTTTCTTGGAAAAAATAATCAGCTTGCTACCAGAAAGTAAGAGGTAATGTTAAAGGCTTCTATTATGCAAAATACAGGAACCTTCAGTAGAAAAGGAAGAGCAGACATTTTCATGAAATGTGAAAAAGCATTTATTCTTCAATTTATTCTTTATCATAACTAAAAATGCTTACCTGAGGGATCACAATGTCAGCTAAAGCCTTTGAAAGCCTGTATAATTCCATTGTGTTTTCTAATTTTAAGGAGCCATTGTGCTGCACATCATATTTTATACAGTCGTAGATATCAGGAATTTTGCTAATATCATATCTTCCATTTTTTGTTTTAAAGTCTTTTTCCAGCTTGGCCCACCTGCGCAGCATCAGTTCTAGTGTTTCACTGTGGTACAGCTGAATATCTGGATGGACACATATCTCATATAAGTAATCAATACCATCCAAGTAACAAAAGGGAAATTTTAATTACATGGTAGTAACAGTTGAATACAGAGGGATAAAATGGATCAAATAAGTTAACTGCAGTACTTCTAAGAAGAGGGAACAGATATGCGTATGGTTAATTTTACTGCTGAAAGTATCACAGCTACATAGCTACATCAAGACAGTAGAAAGCTTCACTGCAGAAATGCACCAATGGCCCTCCAAGCAAAACTACAGCACCAAGTATAAAGTCATATAGTACAGATCATATATAAAAAAAAGCAACCAAAAAAAAAGGCTGTAAGAAAATTCTATGAGGGAGCAAGAGGAGCAGGACAACATCTCTGTTTTAGAACAGACCACACATCCCATTGCTCTCTCTCTCCTGCAGGTGTCAACAGCAAGAGCTGACAGACTGGTAGAAAGGATGGATTATCCCCATCCCAGGACAGGGGATTAGACCAAACAGACAAAACGCACTGACACGATGTACTAGTGCCACTCGTACTGCTCAGCCTCAGAACAGAAGCTCTTTGCATACTACACACAGCAGCATTGACAGCAAATATATTTCTGTATTTAGCTAGTACCAAAAAAGCACTGTGGTCACTTCCAGCTCTAGTTTTCCTGTGTCATTGGTTCACCACCATTAATACTGAGCATCATTCCATGCAATACTACTACACATCATACAGCAAGCAGCAGATCTTCAGCAAAGATACTTAAATATAAAAACGTACCAATGTAACTTAGCTTTAGTACCATCTGCTTTTCCAAGTAATTCTGTGGACTGTTAATTTTCAAATAATTAAGAAAAGAATTTCTGCAAATATCTGAGGCCTAGCATGAACTTCTGAACACCACAAAAAGCCCTTATCTGCAATATGACCACATGTTCCTCCTGCTTTTTACTTTAAAATTACGCATATGGAATCAGACTGTGAAAATCCCTAACCCATTGTTGATTAAAGTTCTGTTAAAAGCCAGTTTAATGATGAAAAGTTATGTTACAAATCTCTCTCAGATGTAAACAAGAGAAGCTAAATACAACTACAAAAATGTTTAAGTACCTGCAGACTTTGGATCTTCCATTCTTTGCCTGATCTGAGAAGTCAAGCTCTGGATCAAGGAATAGACTTTGTCACACGTCTTTACAGGATTTTTAATAACCTGCATTGATTTTATCAATGAGATGCTTCCAGATGGAGTAAGCTGCAATTTCAGATAAACACAAAATTACCTAAACAAACCGACTAGATTTGGAAGAACTGGAGAGATGAGATGGAAAGTATGAAAGATTCTAAGTACTGGAGAAAAAGCATTCCAGCAGGTTGCTATTAATTTTTGAAACCACTTCTCGCTTATTTACTCCCTTTGAGGCATTAATAAAATAAAATATATTGAAAGGTAGTAAGATTTACTAGAGATTTAACGGTGACAAGAAATTCATAGGGTAACTAATTCTATACAGTAAACATGACCAAGTTCAGGAGTTCCTAAACCTCTTCTTTTGTTCCAAGACAAGAAAATTGGAAAGACATTTAAAAGTTTATATGTACTTAGCAACTTCCCATAACTTTCTTCCAAGTAACTATTGTATTCAAAAGCTTACAAAAAACTCTGTAAGAAATGTTATCATTAGGCGACATGCTGTACAAAATACTTTTTGTTCTGTAAAGTGCCCTCCTTAGCATAACTGGAAGGAAGAACCAGATTTGCAATAGTAACTGATACCTGAAAAAAAGTTCGTCTCTTCCTGGTTTAGGTTTTTGTTTCACTAGGACTGCAGCACACAAGCACAAACAAAAAGAAACCCTTTAAATGCATGTATATCAAGAACATACAAGATGTCCTTCAGAGCTACTAAATCATAGAAATTGTAGAAGCTGCAAATTATCCTCAAAAGATAGAAAGTTGAATGCCACTAAAACAATACAATGTCCATGTAAGTGAGGCTTAGCCTCATTCTTTCAGAAAAGTCTGCGTAATGCAAAGTAAGCAAACAATGATACTAAGCAATAATTTATATACTTAGCACACATACATATTTGCACTTTCCCCAGTCTCCTCAAATGCACAGGATAATTTGGATACGGAAAACTTCTGCCTTCTATCCAGACAACTGGATGATCCAGCCCAGTCAACATGGGTTATGAAAGGCAGGTTCTGCCTGACTAACCCGATTTCCTTCTACAACAGTCACCCACTTAGTGGATGAGGGAAAAGCTGTGGATGTTGTCTAGCTGGACTTTAATAAAGCCTTTGACACCGTTTCCCACAGCATTCTGCTGGAGAAACTGGCTGCTCATGGCTTGGATGGGCATGCTGAATAAAAACTGGCTGGAAGGCTGGGCCCAAAGAGTGGTGGTGAATGGAGTTGATTCCAGTTGGTGGCCGGTCACAAGTGGTGTTCCCCAGGGCTCAGTACTGGGGCCAGTCCTGTTTAACATCTTTATCCATGATCTGGATGAGGGTATCGAGTGCACCCTCAGTAAGTCTGCAGATGACACCAAGCTGGGTGGAAGTGTTGATCTGCCTGAGCGTAGGGAGGCCATGCAGAGGGATTTAGACAGACTAGATAGATGGGCCAAGGCAAACTGTATAGGTTTCAAGAAGACCAAATGCTGGGTCTTACACTTTGGCCACAACAACCCCCGCCAATGCTACAGGCTTGGGGAGGCGTGGCTGGAGAGCTGCCCAGCAGAGAGGGACCTGGGGGTGTTGACTGACAGCCGGCTGAGCATGAGCCAGCAGTGTGCCCAGGTGGCCAAGAAGGCCAATGGCATCCTGGCCTGTATCAGGAATAGTGTAGCCAGTAGGACCAGGGAGGTGATTTTACCCCTGTACTCGGCACTGGTGAGGCCACATCTTGAGTACTGTGTTCAGTTTTGGGCCCCTCACCACAATAAAGACATTGAGGTGCTAGAGCTTGCCCAAGGAAGGGCAATGAAACTGGTGAGGGGTCTAGAGCACAAGTCTTATGAGGAGTGGCTGAGGAAACTGGGGTTGTTTAGCCTGGAGACAAGGAGGCTGAGAGACCTTATCGCTCTCTACAACTACCTGAAAGGAGGTTGCAGAGAGGTGGGAGTCGACCTGTTCTGTCAAGTAACAGGTGATAGAACAAGAGGAAATGGCTTCAAGTTGTGCCAAGGGAAGTTTAGATTGGATATTAGGAAGAATTTATTTACTGAAAGGGTCATCAGGCGTTACCTAGGGCAGTGGTGGAGTCCCCATCCCTGGAGGTATTTAAGGTTTGTGTAGATATAGTGCTCAGTGACATGGTTTAGTGGTGTGCTTGTCAGTGTTAGGTTAATGATTGGACTAGATGATCTTGCAGGTCTTTTCCAATCTAGGAGATTCTGTGATTCTGTAATAGTAAGCAGTTCCTACGTCCCTATTATGACCAAGTAAATCAATAGGAAAGATGCTCTGGCACAGAAAAAAAACCCATATTGTTTTACCAAATTGCAAGTAAGTTAAAAAAAAAAAAAAAGGAAAAAAAAGTTATTATCACTTTAAAATCCTGAAGGTTAGTCATTTTCAGTGACTGTCTTAGAACAGTATGCTCTATTAGTTCCAGCCACATTTCAAATCCCATTATATCTATATAGCAAAAAGAAGGGGGAAAATAAATAAATCCTTGAGACCTTGTACACTCTCACTTTTTCCAAGAACTGCCGAATCCACTGCTGGCAGTGGTTTGGATCATACTATTAATCTGTATGTGTAAACAAATCCACATAAATTATACATGCAGGGTAGTAAAATTACTTTTCAATAATTTGCTCTCAATACTCTTTAGAAAATACCAGTTTAAGCTTAAACTTCATTTGAGAACTTGTATTTAGTTGTTGTATCAGACAGAGTAAGGGCAATTGAAAGAGAAAGAAGTTTCTTAACAATAACAAACATTACTTACATTTGAAAACAGGAACAATCATGTGTGCTCTGTACTAAGTTAGCATAAACTATATTAATATGCACTAATTTAGCATGTTAATGAGACATTACCTTTCACTGATTAGAAAGTATTCTATTGGTTTTCATCATCTTAGTATTCTTAGTTAAAAAACAAGGCCTTGTAGCAGATTAAGTACTGAAACAACTGCAGTAGGCAGGCAATACATTTTGTAATACCACATGCTGTCAAAGTAAAGATTACAGAAAGTGTAAACAAAATAGTTTAATTTCTTGAATAATTAAAACATTTTTAATGGAACAGTGAAAAAGATTTACGAATGAGGTCCCTATCTACTCCTATTTCAAAGTTTGTAGCTGTTCTGCTTACTCAAATTGCAAAACAGCTCAAAATATCTAGTATAGCAATTGGTACAGCTTCCTTTGTACTTCAAACTATTTGCAAGCACATAATTTTTCAAAGTAGATACACAAAATCACTGCTCATTACTCCTACACAAGAATTTGCACGGCTATTTCATTTCATAAGAAACTAATCATATGCTAACCTTATCATAGTCATCAGCAGTGAATTCTCTGTCTCTCTGGAGAATTTCATGGAGTCTTGCTTTAACACGATGCTGACAGCTGCTTAAAGAATCACTGTCGCTATCCAACAGACCATTCATATTAGCACTTTTTACCATCTGGACAAGAATAGGAGTCAGCTCTCCCTCTAAGGCCAGAAGTCCCTGAAGCAAATAATACAATTAATCAGGCAAACAGATAAAAAAGTATCTTAAAAAAAACATCCAAAACATTAATTTAAATTCATGATTGTATCATTTGCCTATGGATTAGATAAACAGGGACTTTGCAGACAATGCAGGTATTTGCATAGAAATGAACCCCAAACACTGCCTTGGTGTGCAGGATTGCTACAGCTGGTGCAAAAGTGATGGTGTCACGTCATAGAGAATGGTCCCCAGCGCCAGCTGAAGTGATCCTAGCATCTCAGTGGTGCCAACATTGCTCCTCGGAGGCCAAAGCTGTTCATGTCTTGCGTTGCAGGGAGTGCATGGTGCCTTCTCCTTGAAGCTGGAAGCAACAGCAGCCTGACTTGTGGGGGACATGCTCTCCTCAAGGCATTCAGTCACCAGAGAGTAGGTATGGGAGGAGTTAGCAAACCAAATAGCATTTGGGGGAACAAACAAGAGACAGACAAAGGCAAAAGCCCAAACCCTGTGTGGCACGGAAGAACAGTCAAAGGCTACAGTTGAACAAGAGGTGAATGGAGACTTCTAAAATGGAGAAGGTTGGAAACTTTTGTGACTTTTCTGGCAACAGAAGGGCCTTGGGATAAGAAAGGAAATGGGGTGGTGTCTCCTCAAGACTGCTGACAAAAGAGAAAGTAGGACAGATGGCTGAAATACTTCTGCACCAACACATGCAGCATGGAAACAAAGAAAAATATGAAATATGAACACTTGCCGAACTTACTCAGATTTGTTCAGATTAGAGATATGGTGGAATAGTTCACACAAATGGAGTTCTGCTACAGCTAGACACGGGGCATTTTGAAAGCCAGGAAGGCAAGGAGGCAAAGTTGGGCTCTATATAAAGCAGTAGGTTGAACACTGGAACCTTTGCTTTCAAACAACTGACAAGCAAGTTGAGATCTTATTTGTAAGGACCAGAAGACAAATAAGCACAGGACAACATCATGGGGGCCTCTGCTACAGACCACCCAATTTAAAAGGGGAAACAGATGAAGCCTTCTTAACACAACTGGAGAAAGCCTCCTGATTGCAGACCCTGTTTTCCATGGGTGCCCTTAGCCCTGGGTACCTCATGCACAGGCAATATTGCAATCCAGATTACTGGAAAACACCCAGGACAATTCTTTGACACAGGTTACTGACAAACTATCGAGCAGAGGCGTTCCTCTGTACCTGTTCATCAGAAGTGTCAGGAACGTGGAGGTCTATAGCAGCCTTGGTAATTGAAACCTGATATTATGACAGATCCTTGGAGAACTGAACAAGACAAATAATTGCATTAGAGCCCTGGACTACAAACGAGTAGACTTTAGCCTGTTTGTGGAATCCTATGGAGCACTGTCCTGAAGGACAAAGGTGCCTGGGAAAGCTGGATGATCTCCAAAGACAATCTTCTCAAAGCCACAAGAGCAGTCCACTCTGACATATGGAAAGGCATGCAGAAGGTCAGCATGGATGAAAAAGGAACACACAGAAGGTGGAAGCAGGGATGAGCACCTTGGGAGGAACAGAGACACGACCTGAAAATGGCGGGTGGAATTAAAAACCTGGAGAGGCTGCAGAATCTCCATTCCTGGAGATACTCAGAACTTCACTGGGTATGATTCTGAGCAACCTTGTCCAAACTGGCCCCGTGCCGTGTGGAGTTGGACAAGATGACCTACAGAGGCCCCCTGAAACCTAAACCTCTCTATCACTCTGCATTATTACTGAAACTCATTCACTTAAGAAGTATTTATGTAACACTTGTGCTATCTGTGTCCTCTCACACAATTAAAAGATCTGTATCACTGAAATGAGGAAAGAAGTAAATAAATTATTAACATGTGGAAGTATTAAGCATGCAAAGGGCTACTTGGGAGGGGCAAAAGAGGAATTTGCCTAGCATGAAGAGGGTAAAAGAATATTTTGGCAAGCATTACAGATGTAGGAAGTTATGAATTCTGTGTTTCGTATTAATAGTTCCTGTAAATTCAGATTTGTAATGAAAAAAGAGTTCATGCTTTTTAAACATCACAAAAATTGTATAATTTCACATCAACAAATACATGTAAAAATATTTCTATAAAGTGCCAAGATGTAGTACTGCTACCATGTCTTAATTATTTGGTACCCATTTTGACAGGCCCAAAGTCTCCTGTAACAACTTTATCAAGCTACTTCTATTAATTCTGAAAAAGCATGAATGTACAGTCAGTACTATTTCCATTAAAATATATGCAAAGTAGTTTGTTAATTCCACATTTCTAATAGCTTCAAGCCCTCTAACTTCCTCTGTAAAGTTACAAATCAATGAATCAAAGATGGTTTCAATGAAAAGTGTTGCCTTTTGAACCCCAAATCTTCTGGTCCAAATCACCAAAGTGACTGACAATTGCAATTTTTGCTCATGTAAAATGAATATGTTATCTCAAATCAGTTCTAATGTCTGTGCTTTAACCAACACACACACACACAATCTGTCACAGAAATCTGACAAAATTTGGGGAAAGCAAGACCTAAACAAGTAAGAAAGGCACAACCCAAAAATGTTGCCAATGGCACCCTGGTCTGCATCAAAAGAAGCTTGGCCAGCAGGTTGAGGGATGTGATTCTCTCCCTCTCCTTTGCTCTCATGAGACCTCACCTGGAGTACTGTGTCCAGCTCTGGGTCCCCCAACATAAGAAAGACATGGACCTGCTCAAGAGGGTCCACAGGAGGGCCACAAAAACGATCAGAGTGATGGAACACCTCTGCTATGAGGACAGGCTGAGACAGTTGAAGTTGTTTAGCCTAATGACAGGGCTCCAGGAAGACCTTATTGCGGCCTTCCAGTACCTAAAGGCATCCTACAGGAAAGGCAGGGAAGGACTCTCTATCAGGGAGTGTAGTGATAGGATGAGGGGTAACAGTTTTAAACTGGAAGAGGGTAGATTTAGATCAGATATTAGGAAGAAATTTTTTACTGTGAGGGTGGTGAGGCACTGGAACAGGTTGCCCAGAGAAGCTGTGGATGCCCCATCCCTGCAGGTGTTGAAGGCCAGGCTGGATGGGGCTTCCCACCTGGTCTGGGAAAAGGTGTCCCTGCCCATGGCAGAGGGAGTGGAACTAGATAATTTTTAAGGTCCCTTCTAACCCAAACCATTCTGTGATTTTGGAGGTTGGAAAGGACTGAGGTATATTGCTAGGGCTGTGTAATTAAAACTTGTCTGCATCTGCTCGAAGAACTTCAAATGCTTGGAACATTAATTGGATACTTTTTCAGAGTGAACTAAATACTTCTTGAAAATACCTTTCTTTTAAAACACAGCCTCAATATACACTGTGGACTCTAATATTCTCCCAGTCTTCAAAAGAAAAAACAAAGTTGAGAACACAAACATTTTTAAAATTGAAAATACAATTTCACATTGTACCTTTGCAAAAGCTGCTGCAGTCATCTGAACTCGTCCCTCATCAGAAGCGTAGATTTTGAGATCATGTCGGTAAGTGCTATGCAATCTAAGTAAACCACATCCAGGAAATCCAGCATAATCTCCTACCAAACAAACATTCTACTTAAAATCTCAGTTTGCACTTAATCATGTTTAAAAGGGATTTATGCCATTCAATACTTTTTTTAATTTTTTTTTTTTTTTTTACCTTGTCCACCTGGATACATACACCTGAAAGCCCTTCCAAGCTCCTCTGCTTGAACCCTGCCTGCAGGGGTCAATTCTCCTCCCCATTTTAGAACCAGAAGCAGGGATGGCTCATTTCTTCTATTATCTAATTGTACACAAAGAGAGGAGTTTAGTAGTGAAGTATATTCTGATCTTTTTTTTTGCAAATGAACAAAAATATTTGGACAATGCAGGGGTTCAGTAAAGGATCTCTTCAACATTATGAATCTTTAATAGCATTCTAACATTAAGAAAATATTGAACCGGAGAACTAAATGGGCACTTAAACAGAGAAACCTGAAACAGTTAAATTACACAGAAAACATAAGTGAAAAATATTTAGCATGAAATCTGAAGCAAAAAGTAAATTGAGACAGAAAATTAAGATAAATTGCTTGCTAAATACCCTACAGTTATTTCAGTCAATAACGATGGGTCAAGGACCAGGAAACCTTATAAAAATTTTTAAATATAGCAGTAAATTTTGAGTGCTATTTTCTCATCCTGGCCCCAAAACACCCTTTTTGGTGAATCAATGAAGCTTCTTTTCACCCTAATTTTCTGTTACAAAAAAGCAGTGTTAGAATACAAATTTACTACATAGTTTTAGGTGTATGATTCAGCAGATTAAGAGAGACTGAATATCTGAAAACAATACAACCATTAATTCTAAACAACATATTCCTTCTTCTTAACATGAAGACATGTTATACCACTAGTCCGTGACTATTTAAGCACACATTATATTAAGTGATTAGGTGCAAAAGTGATACGGTACCTTCCTCTTCACTGGAAGTCTTTGGGCAACCATGAGGAAGATATGTTAACTGAACTTTGCGATTTATGCCTGAAAAATGCCCATACCTGAAGTAGGAACAGGGGAAAGTGAGAGGGGAAGAGGGAGAGAAACATTTAAAATATTTTTCTCCAAACCTGCTATGCTCCTGTGACAGGATATAATAAATCTACGATGGTCATCGATTTGTGCATTTGACCATCATTTGTTGAAGCAGTGCTTAGAACAAACCTAACTCAACACGCACAGAATAACTACAGAAATGTCAACCATTCTATAATGAAACATTTAAAGATGTTATCTACTACTTTCTTCAGAACACTGAACATAAAACTGGCAGAAAAAAAAAAAGGCATTTTCAGATTGCACATGTAATTTATCCATTTGGATCCACAACTACAGTGGCTATCAGTATCCAGAATCTGACCTGGCAGTGTAGATGGCTACTATTTTGTTAGCCAATTACGTTCTCAAGCAGAACTCCGTATCTGAAACAATTGTCACAGATTTCAATAATAACTGTCTTTGCCCTGATTTTTTTAAAAATTAAAGTTATCTACTACCATTTACAGTTTTGAGATCCCCGATCATTAACAAACGTTGAAGCCTTAGGCTTCCTACCACCTCCTCCCCCAATTATTAAATATTTCAGTCTTAATATACAAAGCCTTATTTATTTGGAATCCTCCAAGTTTGCTTTAAGTAGACAGTACACATGGTGGAAGTTCTTATTGGCTCCATCAGACTTCATTATGCCACACACTGTAAGAAGCAGACCCTGCACTAAAATACTTTCATTTTAAAAACTTGCAAGAGGATAAAAGTTGAAATCAACAAAAGTAACCTTTTCATGTGGGAAGTATACTGGTACACTAGAAAAAGCAGTAAGTTAAATTAAAAAGATAAGAAGAAAAAACAGAGAGACGATCCAGTTCTCCTTCATAATGTCAAACATGACATCCTTTCTCTTGATAACCCTTGTGCTTGAATTAATATATCGTTAAATATTTGATAACCATTGCAGTCCAAGCAGTAACTGATCAAACAAGTCAAAACAGCAGATACAACTTTGTGGCTATGAAGCCTAAAAATTAGACACTTACATTTCTAACACGGTCTTTAGCTGCTCAAGTTTTGCTTTACTTTCTTCAATTTCAGAATCATTGTTTTGCCCAAGTTCTACAAGGAGTTGCCTTGCTATATCAAGCACTTCCTATAGAAAGGAAATATACAATTTACTTAAATAAATAATTCTCTACTTACAAAATACCACAGAGAGAAAACAAAGAAAAACTTGCCTGCAACTGCTTTGGTTTTTTCAGTTTTAGTTTTCCAGATTTATAACCATCACATTTTTCAAAGAGATCAAAAAACCTTTAAGAGAAAGAATATTACTTAAAAAAATCCAGTTAATAAGTTAAAATATGACTTGAACTAGTGGCTCATGAACTTAAACTGGTCTGAAATTAGCACCTTTACGCTATTTGAAAAGCATGTTAAAATCTGCACTACAGAGGTCAAACCAACCTTTATTCAAATCCCATTTCCCAAGAAAGCCTTCAACACATCAGAGAAATAAGAGCACTAAAAATGTTCTCTTACTGACTTGCTAAGTGTTAAAAAAAAAAAGAAGGGAAGATATTCTATATATCAAATGACATAATATACAGCTATCAATTCTTAATCTCCAGGAGTGATCCTGAACAGAAGTAGAGACCAAAAATACCAAATGAGCAGTCCTACACTTTTACAGCATGTATCTCTGAATGCAAGAATCTAGTCCCAAACCAAACAATTACTTTTTACTGAAACTGCACCTAATTCCAGGCCAGTTATGTAAGTCACTTTATGATTGCTAACATAAGGATGGTATGCACCAGGAATTCAGAGTCATTGAACTTTGACAAAAGTAAAAGACAAAAAAGCGGTGCAATAAGATGACAGCTCACACACAGTTATGATAAAAAGGCAGAAATCACAGTCAAATGGTGAACCAGAAATATTCTCTACTGCACTGTTTGAATAAAGACATCTATAGAGACAAATGCATTTTCATTAAGATCAAGCAGGACTGTTCACAAGGCACAGCATGTGATGAAGGAAGGCTGCAAAAGTAATTTGTTAGACAGACAGAGGCATATTTGTTAATCAGCCGCAACATCAGTTAGATTTAAAAGAAAATAAAACAAAACAAAAAAGGAATTCCTGCTCAATTCATTGCTTGCAAATGCCCAGAAGTGAGCTCTGCTCTAAAAAATCCAACCTAATTTTTACCAAGATTCTACTTACTTCTGGTGTTTTACTTCCATTTTCATTTTTTGTTTTGGTGTTCGGTCCCCATGGCGTATTACAGCTATAACACATCTAAGCTCCATCCTGAAATATCAAGAGAGTTATATTTCACAACTCTATGTATGAAGGACTTTTATTTCATATTAAAACCACCACTAATCAAGACAATTGACAAAGTCGTAGTTATCTGACATAACTACAGAAGTGATGGAAGGATATGCAAGAATATAAGGTTAACTGAAAATGATGTAAAGTATAAAATATAAAATACTGATTTTAAGACTTGGGTAACTACAGAATATCTACTTTAAGTAGTTTTTAAAACAGTGATTTTGAGGTTCATTAAATGAGAGAGCATGTTTATTAGAAGCGCATATTAAGTTGGTGCTGGAACAATGATTAGCAGTGAAAGAAGCTATGCATAAAAGATGCTACACTTGAAAATCTGCTGTTCTATACTCAGCTTGACTAAGGGTCAGCAACTCTGATTGCTGGCATAGCAATTGTGATTCCTTCCTTGTTTTCATCACACAAAACAAGCGTTCATAGGCCAAAGTGGTCACACCTTGTGAAGAAAAAAAAAAATTCACACAAAAGTTACACTAGGAGTCTGCACAATTCAGGTGTAGCTACTATTTTCTTACATTGTTCCAGAGGTGGTTGGCACAATAGGGATGTCTTCAGCTTCCAAAGGAATTGACCATGGTATCTGAAACTGGGGAGCAAGTTCTCTCATTATGATATTTCTAAAAAAAAGGGTTAAAAAGAAAAAAACAACACCTAAGTTTAAAGCACAGTTTATAAAACATACACAAACTCCAAACCAAATAGATTATACATGCATTTTTATGAATGTGGTTTTAGAGCACTAGCAGTCATGAGTTTCTAGATGCAGATTTTTCTTTTAACTGTATAATAAAAACCTACTTAAATAATTTAAAGGTACTACAACTACTACAGAGACAACATTAGCCTAATGGCCCTGAATTTGTAAGAAACCGCAGTTTTTGGGCTCCAGTTCCTAAAAGAGTTCCTTGGATATGATTTAGTCTTGTTCATTTAAGTATTCAGATACCTGACTCCACTGCCTAACTGAAAGTCCCTGATAATCAGAAAGCCATTCTCATCAAAGAGTAACTTGTACCTTTAGTGGCAATTTCTCAAAAGTTTCTGCAATAGAACTGGAAAAACAGGCAAAGTGTTATCCAAAGCGATAACACTGCCTCCGCTTGCTAATCTTCTAATGTTCTGTTTCCTAAGTATTTAATCAAAACATACTGAACTTCAGATTAGTGTCTATGTAAGAAGCAGTAACACAGAGGAAAAAAATTGTGCATCTTGAAGTAAAATAAGCCAAAATTTAATTTCTAAAAAGCTTGAAAAAAATCTACTGTTACTTAACACTGCAATGTGTTACCTTAGGAAATAAACCATAAGGAAAAAAAAAGGAGACAACTTTTTTTGGAGAATTCAACAGCTACAACAACCTGAATAAAGAGAAATCAAAACAGGTCTCAGAATTGTAACTCTAACTCAAAAAGGGGCCTAAAACAAAAGGACTATAGTTGTTATCTAGTATTTCAGCTTAGGTCTTCCCCCATTTTATAATATCCCAGACCATTTGATAATGCAGAAAGTCATGCTGTATTTCATCAGTGCAATCTTACCATAAAGCCAGTTTAACTGGCAAAAAGGGTATCAGCCAACTTTGAGGGCAACATTTCATTGGCATAGAGTTCGCTATCCAGTTCTGTATGACCCCTTGTTATACCTTTTTTTGCTCCCAATAGTAGAGAGAAGATGGTATGACAGAAGACACCTTGATACTACCATCAGTTTGGATTTACCAGTATGAAACCCACAGATATGCAAGTACACATCAGCTTCAGATCAAGGACAATGTAGATTAATTTGGGAATGTATTAAACAGCAGCAAGCATAACCATACAGTGGTGCTTCTCCACTTGAAAAAAATCTCAACTACCTTTAAAAACTTAATCTGGCTTTCAAAATACTTAAATCAGTTAGCTTTAAGTGTTCACAAAACACTCAAGACTCACATGTTTTGGATGATTTCAGGAACAAGGAATTTATTTAGGATTTATTTATTGATTTAGAACTCTTTTCAATATTTTATTATTTAATTTAATGACTAATTTTATGTGCTATTTCATTTTAAATAATTAATTCAGGAATAAGGAATAAGTAGCACATAAACTATAGTCACATGCAAGAGTGAATAGGCAAAACTCCTGAAATAAAATCAGTAAATTCTTACCCCAGTATCTTAGCACAATCATCATAGTATTTCATGGAGTTTTTCACAAAACTGAAGCCATTCACATCACAGACATAGGACTGTCCATTAGCACGAAGCAAATCAAAGCCACAAACTGTTTGCTGTTTTTTAAGAATAAAAGTTAAATCATTGGTCACCTTCCTTGCGATTGCTTATTCTAAATAAAATTTATATTTTAACATGGTATTCATCTGAAAGCATGACAAAAATATGACAGATTTTACACTTAGTACCTTTTGCCAGTTCCATGTTAGGTTCACTTATGTCATGCAAACATCTTCCTACCCCTCCTAACATGGATCCCTAGCAATATCAGTATTGAAGGTCAAGTTCATGTGCATAAACTTAACATTCAAGATTTCCAGGATAAGCAATGATGGGCCTGCAAATTCCCCATTCTGACAGTGGTTTCCCCCTACACATAGTTTTTAAGGGTGGCAGGCAAGAAATCGCAAATACCAATAAAAATATGTTTGTCCAAATTTAAATCTGACAGTATAGTTTTGACATTGACGTAATATTGACATTATTAGTACAGGATACCAGATGCTATTTCAACAGATTACTTTTTTAGATCTCAAAACCCACTTTGCTGAGTGATAGAGGTTCACACCCTACAGGCTCCAGAATGCCACCATAGCTACACACAGGTAATGAGACAGAGTAAAAGACAGCCTTTTAATAAGACAGATGAAAGGAGGGTAAAAGACTGAATGAAGCTTTGAACAAAGGCATCTTTAAACTATAAGAAAAAGCAAACTATCAAACACTTCAAATAAGGACCTAGTCATGTCAGTACCAAATTAACATTTATATTGGGCCTAATGGAAATAATAGGTGATAAAATTTACAAAACCTTAACTACTGAAATTGTGTTTCTCTAGCTTGGAAACCATTAACAAAAGGTGTGAACGTATTATGTATGGAGCAGATGCATGGTGGACTAGCAAAGCACAGTAGCAACATGTGAATCCAGGAAACCTATGCAACATAAGCAACCCACCCGGAATTTTTCAATGCATTAAAGGAAGAATTCTTCTAGATTAAAAAAAGATGTGGATGTGGAAGTTTACACCTTCCTAGGAGTTCTGTAGCAATTATCACTGCTGGCTCTGTGCACTAAAACCCTATGGAAGTTTCACGTAATAAACAATTGATGAACACTAAATGTTTGATCAGATAGGAAAGTAATCAGCTTACTTTAAAGGCAAGGCATACTTTCCAAGCAATTAACTTCTCTCTTGCATTCAGGATGACTGGATACCTCACTTCCTTTCCTTCACTATCTCTTTCTACCTTGCCATCCAGAGCTGGAGACTTCCGCGCTTCAGCATGAGCATAGTCTGGACCCACTGTGTACACCTTTAGTGAAAAACAGGAACTCTTGATTCAGTGTCATTAAATTACATTACAGATATGCATACAGTTTGCTACATTTATCTAAAATGTGGTAGCGACTTCCAAAGGTACTAGCTGCTTTCATAATTGAAAAAGTCACTTTAAAGTACCTTCCTCAATGGCATTCTCTGCCTTCAGAGAACACCCACCATTTACTGACAACCTAGGATAAAGCAAGAGGAGAAAACAGCTGTAGCACAGGTAAAGAAAAATAGTAATTACAAAACTTGATGAATAAAAATGAATTTCTTAATTACGGTGGTACAGAGGTAAAGAATAATGCTTTCCTCTCTAAAACATCTGCACAACTTGGAGAGCAGATTAGTTTGAGGATTACTTGATTATGGAGATCTGGCTGCAGGACTAAGCGATTGTCTTCCTTAAAAACTATTTTCATATTTTAGGCAGGACTAAACAAAGCAAACATCTGCCCAATTTTAGCATGACAAGGCAGGGCCTTGACAGAATGATTGTGCTATCTAGTCTGCTGCTGTTTTGATGCTCACAGAAAAAAACTGGGGCTTATGCTGGAAAAGACTTGTCAGCAGCTCTCAAAAATGGGCTACTTGTCACTTTAATTAAAAACCAAACTCTAAGCTTTGATAAAAAGGTATTCAACTAAAGCAGATGATTGCAAATATTGCCAATTTAGACAATTCAGGCAGGAGGGTGACTTGGGTGAAGCTGCTTAAAATAAAGCTGACAGTCTTGTTATTTGAAGGGGTGTTACTTTACTTGCGGTGTTAAAAGTCCACAGCTGCTGTTAGATGACTACACTAAAACAAGTAGACAAAATGGTCCCCACTCCTCAAGTCATTTGCATCTCTTCATGTTGCAAGAAACTTTCCTTTTTGGAAACAGTTTGTAAAGCTCTTACACAGATACCTGTAAACTTAGATTAACCTATTGCAAAGTGTCGCACAGTATAACCATCTGAAGAGTGTAGCTCAAGAAAATATACCAACTTAGAGAATGAAAACATAGCAACTTAGAGAATGTCCGAAAACATAAAACAAGCATTCCCCTCATGTATCACCAAATGGAAGAAGTTGACTGCAATTGATAGAAGGTCTCCCTGGCCTAAGACTGGATTAGATCTCACACTCTCTGAACCTCTATTTTTTGTCTAAATACGGTAACGTCTCATGCATATTGTAAAACATTTCACATGTTTTGTGATGGACTTAAAAGAGCCAGAACTAACACAAAGGTAAAGAATGCAATCTCCATACATGGCTGGCTTAACACCTGTTCTGTTATTGCTCTATTTTAGCATTCTTTTATGATACCTAATCTTTATTCTGTTAAGAAAATAAATGAACAGAAGAGTGAAAATAATTATAGATAAGGTCAATGCATTATTTTCTGCAACTTCCTATAATTTTAGTAAGTAACTTTTGTTTATTAATTAGAATACTAACATGGTTGGTAAAATCTATTTCGATTACAGATTTCTTTGTAACCTTCAGACAAAATATCTAGGCAGCATCTGTTTACACAGGAAAATATATGCTGTTCTGGCACTAATACAATAGAAAAAAGGAAGACAATGTGTTGGGTAATAAGCATCCAGCACTTGATTCTAACAACATAAGCAAAGCTGCTCTACATTCCAAGGACTGTGTTTAGATAGAATAAGAATTACATTCTTTACTTGTGAACTGTATCAAAACTTCATAAAAATTAATCCTTGACACAAAGATATACTTTCATCTTTAAAACTGACAAGCTCTTAGAGCTCTTGATTGTTCTAAATATAAATAAGCACACGCAGTTGTCATACCTTCACATCAGTGCCATCTGTAGGCATGAATTCCTCATAAATATAGGAGCCTGTTTTTCTCACACTGCTTTCAGGCGAATAAACACTGCTTCTGCTGCCAATCTGAAAGGAATATTTTTCTATTAATAAACTCATAGGCTACTGCTTGAGAAACTTTAAAACTCCTTAAAATAACACACTGGTACTGAGAAAACACTTCCTGTACCAAAGGAAGCAAGTAGGTTTTGATCGTTCCCAAAAGATTTTTATAAGATTCTAAAAGTGCACCTAATAGTGTATGCTTCTTTTACCTATAAGAATCTGTAGCGGCTGACAATCTACTGCAAGGAACAAGGGTCTTTATTCCATCTACATGTTCTCCTGAAATTAATTTCTGCAATCTGTCACTACTCCTACACAAGCAGGACATGACAAAACAGGTCCCAGCTAACATACGGATAGGACAGAATTACTGAGCAATTCTGTTAGACTTCTGCAACTTTTCAGTAGCTTTAGTACAACAACCTCACCTTTCGGAAGAGCCTCTGCCTTCCACCCCCAGCAGATGTTGGATAATAAATGTAAACATTGTGGTCCTCAGCACTAACTGGCTTTTCTACAAAAGGCTTTTGGAAAATTTCTCCATTCACTTCCACGTGATCTTCTCCTTCAATCAAGTTGCATTCTGAAGAAACAGTGTGAACAACAGAGATGTAATAATACAATCAAGGAACAAAATTATTAGAGATTCAGGTAATTTTGCACATTGAAACAAAAAGATTATGTTACATTTTTGGTTCACTGCTTTGTTACTGACTTCACAAAGAGTTAATGATCATGTGCTGAACATGTCTGCTGTACCACGTCTATGTTATGTTACTTAATACCATGTTCCAGGATTTCTCTTGATTCCCTCAGTGTCAGACAGGAAATTGCCTCCTACAGATACATAAGCTTGCATGGGTTATATGTTTCTGGAAATGTTTCAAGGACAGAGGGTAGGGCTGTTTGTCTCTTTCTTCAGTGCCTTTTTCTGAAGTATCAGAGGAATGGCAAATGGAATGAACATGGTGTGGTGCCAGATGCAATAGTATTTTAACAGGCTGAGAACTGTCTCATATTGTTTACTGATGCACCTTGCACAGATGATTAGGTTCTCTGGAACCAGGGATCAGGAATGTCTTCACTACTGGCTGGCTGCTTGCAGCAGCTTTTATTTGACTTTTGTAGGATAAGTGAGTCCTTTGCCCCCTTGATTACGCAGATGTATTAACCTAAAATTCCCTACCTACACCACAGTAATACTTCAATTTTCTTTATTCTTTCTTATCTCTTACTCCTGTGTTTTGACCTGTTGTTGCAATCTCCTACTGTTGCTGTAAGTTTTCATTTTAGTAGAAAAAGCTGTGAAGTTTGTTTTCAGGTACAGAAAAAAATATTTCCAATTTATATTCAGAGTATATCATCTGCAGATCTGTCTGGACTAGATTTCCCTTACACAGCTGCTTGTACTCAGAAAGGAAAGTATTCAAGAGCCTGACTTCTGTCAATATTCATTTCCTAAGTAAAATTACTAATTATTGTAGGTAATGTAACATGAATTCTGCTCTCTTTGGTGACATATTAGAATCTCAGTTTGAGTTTGGAGGCCCTTATATTCTAGTTGTTCTATCATGGCTGTAAAAGGACTGGGACCCCAGGCTTCAGAAACATGCTTTTCAAATGCATACCTGTACTGCCTTTGGCTGGGATGGAGTCAGTTTTCTTCACAGCAGCGGGTATGGTGCTATGTTTTGAAATTGTGACCCAAACAGTCTTGATGTTTTAGTTATTGCTGAACAGTGCTTATGCAGCCTCAAGACAGGGGTTAATCCACACCAATACTTTAAGTACTGGAGGAGAAATCAACCTCTACACAAATGAAATAATCGTCTAGCAAGTGAAATTTAGTTTTCCGCTATGTATGTACTGTTCTCCAGTGGAAATAAAGAGATGCCAATGGTTGATACTTTAGTCATCATTTTTTACCTTGGGGATTGTTTGGATCACGGTTCAGAACTGCATAGCGAGGAAGTAAAATGCCTTCAGCTTTAAGAATACCATATACTTCTCTCCTAGAAGAAAAGAACAAAAGTTGCACAGTAAGACAGCAAATTCTGCTAGTATTTGTATTTTACAGTCCATAACAAAGGAGATTTTTTTTTTTACATCACACAGGATAAGATTACATATAGAATACTCATTAATATAATGCTTTAGAGGTCATTGACACAGCTGTACCTTTCCAGTGATCTCATCAATATCAGCAAAAATGTAATTTCCTATGTCAGTCCTGTCCTCTCCACTCTATCAGTGCAAAAGCAATTTACATAGAACAATCCTCTTGTTAAAGGAGATTATTAATATGAAGGGTTGAAAAAGTTTATACAGGACAGCAACTGGAGGCATCCAAAACAGCAAGTCTGCTCACTGTTCAGAAGGCTCCAATGTTGATGCATTTTGCTCACAATTGTTTTGTTAATATGTTATGCATGATTGCAGCTCCAGAAGAAAATTCACTTTGAATAACCACACAATCTTCAAATACCAACAAGTTCTGTTAAATATCCACTTAACAGAAAAAAGACCTTCAGTAAGTCACGTGAATTCTACAATTATAGGAGGTTGTACTGTTGCTATACATACCTATGCTATACAAATTTTCAGAGTTTAAACTTTTTTATTTGCTAAGCTTTAGACACATGTATCACCAAATTTCTACCTTGGTAAATCTTCAGGCGTATCAATATAAAAGCAGTAAAAGAAAACACACACCTAAAGACATATCCCAGAAAACTATGCATACATTAACAAAGCATAGCATTCACTGTAATTTTATTTAGACTACTGTATAATACACTGGAACTGTTGCTATGCAATAACACAATTATCACAGTCTCTGACTTAAACGTAGTTTGCTGTTTACAGGTAATTAGTGTTACTTACCTGTCTTGTATGTGATACTGCATATTCAAGTCATTGATTATGAATGGATTCCTGAGTTTTGCATAGGCAACTGCTTTGTCCAGTGGAAATCCTAAAATATTTATTAAGGCAAATAAATTAAAACTACAAGACACAACACCAGTAAATAGTTTGGAACATTCATACTCAAGGTTTAGAATACAACCAGAGATATGGCTTAAGTGGGAGGATGCTCCCTCAACTATAGACACACACAACATCAGCTTAAGACGATCACGCAACTACAGCCTAATTTCAGTACAGGCTGCCAAAATTAGTGGTCCTGTCTCCAACTCCCTCCTCCTGACTCCACATGCCCTCCACTTCCATAGGGCCAGAACAAACGCTTTTATTGCCCCTGCCTGAAAATACGATTTTTAACTTCAGCCTGCTCATCTTTGGTCCACTGCCAGGCCCACAAAAGAACCTATATATTAGAAGAGGTACATGAACAAGTGGCAAGAGACCCGACACTCCCATTAAGAAAGTAGCATGTCTTCACAGTTATTGGACCAAGTAAGTATTAGATCACCATTTCCACTGGCTCCACAAATATTTACCAATGAAATAGCTATTTTAAATACCATGTCAGACAGGACTTTCTCAAGCAATGAAAACAGTATAATTTAAAAAGCTTGTATTTTAATAGTCAGATTTATTATATTAGATAAGACAAATGAATCACTTCCTAGGAAAATCCAATAAAACAACAAGACCAAAAAAAAGACAAACTGGTTAAAGTATCTAGATGTCAAAAATATTTATGGTATTACTAGATGATTTACCTTTAGAATGAAAAGAAATGAGACAGTCACATAAAGGCCAGTTTTCTACTGGCTCATTCAAAATAACATCTTCTTCAAATATTACCACAGTTATGTACTTAAACATGGAGAGGCGTTCAAGAATTTCTTTCATTGGTTTAGACTTGGATTTCTTAGCCATTGAACAAATCCCAACTGCAATTTGTCTTTCTGGTGGCTGAAGAAGGGGGGGGAAAAGCAATTATTATTTTTATGTTTTCTCAGAATACAACAGGGTTTTAGCAGCACAATATTAGAGTAAATACTTCCTGTTAAAATTCATGTACTACCTTTAATTTAACGTTTAATCAGGTAAATTACTAGCAGGTAACAAAATGCAGTATGACAGCATGCTGCACTGCATCCTTACTAAAAACGCCTCAAAAAAATGAAACTGTTCAATAGCTCTACACTCCTTTTTGTGAGTATCATATCAGGAACAAATATACAGGATCAAATCTATGTCAGAAATACCAAATCTGAATTATGTCATACTTATGGCTTATTCTGAAATTAACTAGCAATCAGTTTTCAAACTATTTAATTTTTCTACATCTACTTAGTAGTCACAAGGCTTATCATCTTATTACCTAATATTACAAGTGAATTCTGAAAAGGAAAACTAGTAAACCAGAAAGTGCTATTCTAGATTTCTGAGCTGTTTTGTGCATAGACGGTTTCACTTTTCTTCTGCATACTCTATATGTTCTTTCATCTTACAAGCCTTTAAAAATTTGTTTCCCCAGTGGTATTCCTAAGTGGAACCAACAGCCAACCAAGTCCTCTGTTTAAAAAGAAACAAAAAAACCCCAAACCCAGAACAAGCCTCTATTTCAACTTGTTGTTCTTTTAAAAGATAGCCAACTACCTTCCCTTGCTAAAATACACTGACTGAACTGAGCTGAGCTGCTAATTTTGCACCAGTTTTCTGCATTTCAAGTTACTTTTAGTAATAGCAAAGTGTTTTATTAACACTTCCTTGCACTTAAATTTCTCAGACATACATGCAATCACTAAAAATTTAATCTGGCTATTCCCTAAAGTGAAATGTTACAGACTAAAAGAACAGCAAAATACAGCTAAAACATTACATAACATGGCGATTCATGCATATCAAAATTAAGACTTTGTCTTAAACAGCCTAAAAATTGGTAAACATGCTGAAATCCAATTCAGAACACTCTGCAAGCATAATAAACTAAGGCATAACTTAAGATTAATCTTAAAATGTGCTTTCTATACACCAAGACAAGGAAAAAGAATGAAAACATATGGTATCTTAATGAAAACAACAGTAAGATGAAAAAAGAAATGTTTAGTCTGTTCAAACTGAAAAATCAAAAGTTAACTCTGCAGCCGTTGATAACGCATACAAAGAAAAAGTCTCAATCATTTTTTGCTACTAATTATCTAAATAAATAAAATGAAGGCTTATGCCATCACAGTCCCAAAATCTACACCAAGCCTGCAAAGCTGGCACATCAACCTCAGCTGCCGTGAAAGTCTGCATTAAGGTCAAGCACACCAACTTCAAAGTTCAAAGTATACTTATTTTTCAAGCGTGCTGCATTTCCAAACATAACTGACAGATCATTATCTGGCTATGAACAATTTCCCAATTCAGAACACCATTTCAGTATTAGAATTCTGTGATCTAATGCCATTTCAAAGTAAAATAATGCTAAAGAACATACAGAATACCAGACACATGCCCCTACAGAACATACAGAGTCATACTCTTCCTCCTCTTCTTCCCCATGGTCATAGAAGTGTTCATAATCTGTAGATCGGGTTGAATCCAGTAATTCTTCTCCATCTTCTCCACCCACGAAGAATCTAGGAGGATCACTCTCTGTTGCGCTAACAGACATGGTTACAAGATCTATAGAGATCTTATGTAGAAACTGCAGCCGCTTTGGCAGCTGAGATACTGGGCATGTTTCCCGCTGACTCGGGAACACAAAAGTCCCCCACTCTTTGATGTTGCTTGTGCGGTGTTGCCACTGTGCTGACGTAGTCTGCCAGACACTGTTTAACTGGTATCATCTGCTTATTATTGGTTTGAGTTGCTGCTCCAAGAAACCCACGATAGGCTACTGCATCCCTGAGATGACACAACAACGTTTCAACCTAAAAGAAATGCCCAAAAAAACAAACAAAAAGAAGAAAAAATACATTTGATAAAGGCACATAAAAATAAACCCTTCTCATTTAGAAAAAGTGTTTGGACATTTACATACCTCTGAGCAAAACCTCAGAAATAAAAACTGTGCACGCTAAATGCAGTCTACACTTTCAGATGTATGTTTAGAGCAGGGAGAATAATGTCAAGATACTTTCAAACTACTGACACAGACATTTTATAAATAGATAACAAAACTCACGAAAGTAAAAACTGTCAAACGCATTTGTTTTTCATAACTTAAGAAAGAAAAAGTGCAGAGTGTATCTTTTATATGAAAAATAAAACAACAGAAATCTTCTCTGATATTTGCAATATTTAACTCAGCATCCCTGTTGTCATTTGTTTTTTCCCCAAAAGTTTCCTCATCAAATGTCAATGGCAAACAGACAAAAATGCTAATGGAAACTATAAAGCCACCATTAGGACTATTCTTAAATGGAAACCTATTCTTTCAAAAACTGAGTGAATCTTCAGTGTGAAAGCAGAATGTATGTGCCAGCTTGATGTTTGCTCATTTCCAACAAAGCATTGCTTTATTTTCACACTGAAAAAATGAGTATTTGCAGAGATGTACACTAACACTGCCTTCTGTCAAAAGTACTTCTAAGCACTAATGTACTTCACTAATGTGAACACATATCGTACCCTTTTAACCAGTCATGTGAAAATAAAAACTTGGCCAAATAACTTGTATGCAGAAACAGAGACTCAGAGCTCAGTCTTCTGCTATTTTAACTAGGTAGCTGTTCTTGCTGTAAGTTGTGCACGGCTTTATACCATTAATGATAACCCATTATTACCACTTCAAAAATTAATAAGCAGTTATTGTTTAGAAGGTGATCTGATCAAACGCTGTAGGTTGTTTATTAGTCAGATCATTACGTAAGTGCCATTCAAAAACGACGTCTCAGCAGAACTGAATTTGTCTTTAAATATCTGTCAAAATGACTTTGGCTGTTCTATGAACGAAGTGAAGCAATAGTAAATTCCCAATGGTGATCAACCATTCAGCTTCCTGTGAAAAAGAATGGTAAACAGAGCAAAAGTTACCCAGAACAAATCTGTCCTAAGTCAGGGAGCAATAGGTTAAGTGTGGGTAAACAATACAGTTGTTCCAGACCCAGAAACTGAAGTCCAAACAACAGACACATAAAGATGCTGGAGTGACAGCAGGGGATTAAAATGATTCATTTCTTAAACGCATTTGTTATGCATCTGCTCTGCTTCGATTCCACTAATAAAAAACTACTTTCCCTTAGAATGTGAAAATGCATACATTTGTCCTCCAAGCAACAAGAACAAAATGAAACTTCAAGCACTTAATTCATCTTGCTCCCATGAGAGTTAGAAAATAGGTACCGAGATAAATCAATCCTGTTTATGAAAGGGTGAAGAAAGAGAGTTTTCCAAATCCTATTTCTAGCAAACTTCAGAAAGGCAGAGGCTATTGCCAAAATACACTGGCAACTCATAGAGAATTTTGAAATAGTATTAAAAACAAACAAAAAAACACAACCCAAAACTGGTAAAGCCTGAAAATGAAGTTTAACAGTTCCTCTTGCATCAGCTTCCCCTCCTACTACCCAGATTCTGTAAATTGGAAACAAGTGTCCTAACAGCTTTTTAAAACCGAAGGTTTTCTTGTAAAAAAGGGAAAAGCAACCACTTGAAGCAGATAATCAGGTGACAAAAAACAGGTTTCTTAAGCTTTCTTTCCCCTACCTATTCCTGTAGTGCATTTGTGGGAGCAGCTGAAGTTGTGAAGTTCGTGTGCAGTTAATGAGTAGTTATTTCATGAGGATCTCTGGCACTACCCCAGGATCTCTAACCCAAAGTGATTACTTTTCAAAGCAAGTAGAAACCACACAAATAAAAACCGGAGGGAAAGCACAACACACTTGTCTACAAATGACTACAATGTCTAAAAAGATCTAACCTGACAAGATTAATTCCCTAACAAACCTCTCTGAAGCTTACTGTTTTTTTACCTTCCTAACTCAAGAATCTGGACAGTGCTGGAGTTATTGGTGGCAAGCAGAACCTTCAAGTGAAGCTTCACTCATGGAAAACAGACTTTGAACAGTCACATAGTCTGCTTGGAGTTAACAGATTGTCTGCAAGATTTAGTATGTTGTTCACCTGTTTGAAAGTGGATGAATTACTAGATTGCCACTGCATGCTATTGTCACTGGGCCCCAGAGTTTCCGGATAGTTTGTAAAAATAAAGCCAAAGAGACAGGTTTGAGAAAAGATCCTGACAATTTTCAGGCTTGTAGACTACTGCAGGGACTCACGGAATTGCATATAAATAGGCATTCTCGCCGCTGATAGTTACCAGCTTATCTCCCAGCCATTAGGTGCCGTAAACTACTGTCATGAGCATAAATTGAGTCAGAATATAATGAATAAATTATTTATTTTTTAGAATAAATGCTTTCAGAGATGGGAATTCAAATTCTTTTCCTCCAAATGCTTTGGCTACTATAAAAAATGAAGAATCCCCTTCTTTCTTGTGGTGTGTGAAATAAAAAGAGTCCAAGAAAAGAGCCATGGAAAGAGAAATACGAGAGGAAGTGCCTGTAACTATAGTGAACAACTCGCACAAGTGTCCTAAGAACATCTACAGTTATTTGATGTAAAAAATGCAGTAAGACTGTGCTTGAATAAAAACGTGGTTCTCAAGTTGTACACCAAGGAGAAATAATAAATGGCAGAGCAAGAAGATGGAACTGTGTTCCCACCCCAGAAGCACTGTCAACGGTGATGGGAGAAACTTTTAACACACGGTGCCCTATGCAGAATTCCATCTCGCTGCCCCTGGAGCAGGGAAGAGTCTTTCCAGTACCATTTTATTGTATTAAGAAGGGAGCAGCAGCAGCTATATAGGGGCTGAGATGCTCTATGTTAGATCCTCTAGTATTTGGTGCATGCGCATAAGCCCCATCAGACAGTGAAGATTAGAAGATTACATGTATGCCTCGACCATGGAAGACTGCAATCTAAGCAAGACAAAACCCAAAGCTGTGCATTGGAATATACACTAATCCATTTCCAAAGAGATAGCATCAAGAATATCCAGGCAACTATCTCCTACCGTGCAATGACCTTTCCAGGTAAAATTAATTAGACTATGTTCCCTTCAAACCTCAGCTGTTACACAAGGCTGCTGTTTTAAAGCTTACAGATAAAAAAAATCTCAGCTAATTTTGAAAAACATGATTTAACTAACAGTGTTGTTTCTTAAAAGAACTTCCAATCAAACGTATGGCCTGTTCATTCCACCTGTCCTAAAACTTTCTACTCATAACCACCACATGATATGTAAAAATAAATTAAAAAAATTTAAAAGAAAACAGTAAATCTGCTAATTTTACATTCTCATCTTAAAATACACTAACCTCAGTTCTTCCCTACTAAGCTAGACAGCACTAAAATGGCACACTGCAAAGAAGAAGTAAAAATGCTTAAGTTTAGCCGATATTATTATCACTGACTAGTGGAAGGTATACAAAATAACATTCTAAATATATAAAATGACACATAGACAACATTAAAATACAAATAGGGCTGTATTTGAACCACAGATTTTGGTAGCCTGCTAAAGACTCCAGGTCCCATGTTCACTCGAGCAGCGCACTATAGACTTTTTTTTTTCCTAACAGAACACTTCTACCCTTCCATAAGTGGATTCTAAAAGAGTAACACAAAACATAGTCCTCACTAAGTGTTAACAGATATTCCCACAAACAGTCTTCCTCCAGTCCCCATTCCACATGTTTCAGCAGCTCAGGAATCCAACCCTGGTGTTACCCATATTTACTTAGACCATAAAGATTAGCATTACAGTAACTGTCAGCAACAAATCAGCTCAACATAGCAGCAGTGGTCTGAACAGTCATATAAGAAGGACTCAAAGTTTTAACAGCCATGTTCCAAATACTAATAAAACCAAATATACAACTCCTGTATAAACAGAAGCATTTCAGCAGGTTTTCTTCTGTGTCCCTACAGCTATCAGAAGAACAAATATACACTGCCTCTACGCACTCTAATGGAAACTAATGGAACAAAACTAGAGTAAAAATGCTTCTCATCTGTTATCTCAAGAAAAAAAACAACATATCATACATTAAATACCTATAAAACATTTCTGAATCACGAACCACTCAGGAAAACAACTTTTGGGAATGCCAATATAACAAAATAACTACAAACTACTTTGTGACATTTACATTGTGGAATTTAATAAACCGCTAACTGTACAAGAAGCTTTAGTGGTGCTTATCGGTTACATGATTCTGTCCATCTACGTACATAACAATAGGAGAGCAGCCCACTCCCCTGCACCCTCCCTCCATATTGCTCCTTTTAAAGTTTCAGTTCTTACTGCCGTAGGCATATTCAAACTGCTTCCAGTACCAGCTTCCTCCAATTCAAATTAAGTAGTTAAAACCCAAATGATTTTAACAGCAATTTTTCAGGAAGTGTCCCAGTGAGATGACTTTTAAAAAGCTTTCAACATCTTCCTGGTACAACTGCTATACCTAACATTTCCATTAACAGTGCATTTGACAGCAAAAGGTTTGCCTCGCTCCCGCAGAGGCATTTTACCTGTTTTAAAATTCCAATTCTGCAACACAATTTACGGTGTAACGACCCACCAAAGACAGCCAGTTTGCTGGGCTGCTGGTGGAGCAGAAAGTACAGGGAGAAGGCAAGGGGGAAGCAGAGAGGAGATGGAAGAAGAAAAGACACCAGCAGAGTCTGAACTCAGAGAGCTGACAGCAGTGACTGTGATCCCCAGTGCTCTGTGTGGAGCTGTAACAGCTTTCTAGAGATGATTCAAAGAAATTTGGTAATACTTCAGATTTAAATGCAAGACTCTAGAACTAGAACAAGGCCCATGCTCAAGAACAGCATTTCCTGAGGTCTGACAGATGACCAGGA